GTTTTGTAGATTTTGAAAAGACATTGTATTAATGATAAATAAAATTTTGGATTTTTTTCTTCTTTTCTTTGATAAATTGTTTGAAGAATTTTGTGGCAAGTTTGTTTGTTATTCTGTAAAAACTAATTTTCTGAATGCTATATACTTTTTTTTTATGAAGTGAACTCCTGTAAAAACTAAGATTATATTGTCTATTAATAAACATATATTTAGATTTCTGATTTTGAGCCCAGTTTTCAAGTAGGTCCAAATCAGGGTCCTAAATTAAACTGTGTTTGATTTCAACATAAATTGAATATATATAGGGTTCTTTGAAATGCTTAATCTAAACCTGTGTTTATTTTCATTATTAATAAGATTGAGGTCCAAAGGGTCCTAAATTAAACTTTTGTTTAATTTCATCAAAAATTGAATTCTTTGGTTCTTTGATATGCTGATTCTAACAATGTTTGAGTGTTAAATCATATCTAATTTTAAAGAACTTAGTCATCACTGGTTGTTGTTATTATATTATTGATTATAATTTGAAAAATTGCATCATATCTTATTTTAGAGAACTATTTATCCAGTTTGAGTTATTTCCCTTTGCACAGAAAATATTATGGATAAAATTAAACTGTGTTTCATTTCAACATAAATTAAATATATATAGGGTTCTTTCAAATGCTGAATCTAAACCTGTATTTAAATATTAGATTTTTGGGCCCAGTTTTCAAGTTGGTCCAAACCAGGGTCCAAAATTAAACTTTGTTTGATTCAACAAAAATTGAATTTATGGGGTTCTTTGAAATGCTGAATCTAACCATGTATTGAGAGATTTTGGATTGTGGGCTCCTTTATCAAATTGGTCCACATTGAGGTCCAAAGGGTCCTAAATTAAACTTTTGTCTGATTTCATCAAAAATTGAATTCTTATGGTTCTTTGATATGCTGATTCTAATATGTACTTAGAGTTTGGATATTGGACCATAATAGGTAAATGTCCTATTTCAAATATTTCAGTTCTTTGACCACACTCATTTTGTGTCACAAACCTATGCTGTGTCAAATATTCAATCACAATCCAAATTCAGAGCTGTTTTAAGCTTAAAAGGAGTGTCCATACTTGCTCAACTGTTCAGGGTTCGACCTCTGCAGGAAAATCTGGTTTGCTGTCACTCTGACAGCCTCTTGTTCCCATTTGTATTGCCTAATATCTTAAAAACTGTAATAGATGGATAGAAACTTTAAATGGCACAAAGGATCAGCAAGACAAAATCTACAAATAAGCCATAATGTTTGTAATCTTCAGTCAAACTTTTATTAGAGTTATTGTCCTTAAGTGATAATTTTTCAACATTTTTATGCATTTTTTGCCTAACTAAAAAAATAGATAAAAAGAAACTTTAAAAAGGAAAAATTATCAGCAGGATAAGATCTACAAATATGTTTATATGACTGAAATTGGCAGTTAACTTTTAATAGAGTTATTCCCCTTTAATCACGATTTTTATGCCCCCACCGTAGCGGATGGGGCATTAAGCTTTACCCTTGTCCGTCTGTAAGTACGTACGTATGTACGAACGTACGTTTGTACATCGTAAGTCCCAAAGTTGGTTTTCCGTTCTCTTACTTTAGTTTGCCTCAACCAAATGTTTTGAAACTTATACACAATGCTTATTACCACAAAATACAGATCAAGTTTGAATTTTGGTGGTGTCAATTTAACCGTTCTAGAGTTATGCCCCTTTACAAATGGAAAAATTGCTGAATTTTTCTTTTCTGTTCTCTAACTTAAAACCTCAACCAAATGTTATGAAACTTATACATAATGCTTATTGCCACAAAACACAGATCAAGTTTGAATTTTGGTGACGTCACTTTAACCGTTCTAGAGTTATGCCCTTTTACACTTTTTCCGTTCTTAACTTTTGTTTGCCTCAAACAAATGGTATGAAACTTATACACAATGCTTATTACCACAAAATACAGATCAAGTTTGAATTTTGATGGTGTCAATTTAACCGTTCTAGAGTTATGCCCCTTTTCAAATGGAAAAATTGCTGAATTTTTTCGTTTCCATTCTCTAACTAAAGATAGCCTCAACCAAATGTTATGAAACTTATACCCAATGCATATTACCACAAAACACAATCAAGTTTGAATTTTGGTGGCGTCACTTTAACCGTTCTAGAGTTATGCCCTTTACAAATGGAAAAATTGCTGAATTTTTCGTTTCCGTTCTCCAACTTAAGTTAGCCTCAACCAAACGTTATGAAACTTATACACAATGCTTATTACCACAAAATACAGATCAAGTTTAAATTTTGATGGTGTCACTTTTACTGTTCTAGAGTTATGCCCCTTTACAAATGAAAACATTGCTGAATTTTTCGTTTCAGTTCTCTAACTTAAGTTTGCCTCAACCAAATTTTATGAAACTTATACACAATACTTATTACCACAAAACTCAGATCAAGTAAGAATTTGGGTAGCGTCACTTTTATCGTTCTTTAGTTATGTCCCTTTATAACTTTATATGATATGCAAGCGGGGGCATCATCTGTGTCCCATGGACACATTCCCCATTTATTACTTAAAGGTGGCTATTGTTAGCCTGTCTATTTGAATGTTAGATATCAGTTGAAAGAATTATTGAGAAGATTCTGTTTCTTGTTATGTTTTTGATTGTTGATTGTTGACTGTTTGTAGATAAAGTACTATGACTTTGAGTACAAAGAGAAAATCAAAACATTGTGTTTTAGTCATGCTTCCATCTTTTTTATTTGTATTCAATGTCATTGGCATAGATAATAAGGAAAGAAATATGCTATACATTTATAACATTATAAAAAGAACAAAAATTAACAAGCAATAACAATAGTTATGCATGGTTTGTAAGCATTAATAAAGTCATTTTGCTAGAAAACTTAAAGACTCATTGCTTCAAACTGTAAAACATTGACAAATGTTATTTATTTACTAAAGCAGTGGTCTTTGAACACTGGGTAACATTGACAAATGTTATTTAATAACTAAAGCACTGGTCTTGGAACACTGGGACATGTAAGAAGTATGAGCTGACTTGGCTGTTCTTAATACAATTCTAATATGATAGAAGTTCATTTGACTCTGTACTAAAGTAATTGTGATCCTGGTAACAGTTTGAGTTGTTGTTAATCCCAACACTGAGGAGCTTTGAATGGTCTTTGTTGTTCATGCTGTCAGTTTTGATCTTGAGCATGCTGAAGGTTCTTTAATGTCGCATTGGAGCATGAAATAGGGAGCATTTCTTTGCTGATTATAAAGTTTATTGAAGTTTTTTTTTTTGCATCAAAACCTCCCAATGTTCTGAAAACATTCCACTTTTCCTTTACCTTTAATCATCATTGTCGTGTGCCTTATACAGAAGCTATATCGAGTAATTAATATCCATAATCACCTATTGATTGTTCAATCAAACTGTTATCACTTGTTAATTAGCCTCAGGCCAGGTCAAAATTAACACACGTAATCAGATAATGTGAGTTACACTGGATACTTTTGATACAATTATTGTTATTCATCTGTTCAGGATAAAATAAAGGGGTGTTTAAGTTCAATCTGGCAACATACAGGAACTTTATCAGTGTTTGTGTTTAAGTCCTTTTGTTTATTAAGGAACTTTATTTGATATTGTTGATGTTCTCATTTCCAGCATATCATTAAAAGGAGATATGTCAATGAGACAGCAACTTAATGACAAGAATTACCAAAAGTCTTTTGAGAGCAACATATAGTCCTAAAGGGGTATTAGCTGTCAGATTCATGTTCACCGAATTGACTCAAATTCTCATATTTTATTTATAACATACTAAAACGTATATCCAAATTACAAAAAGTCTAAAATAGACAAAAAACAATGCATGAACTTGATAATATGTATCAACATTTCGTGTGTATTTTTGTTTAGATGTCATCTAATTAACCATGGAGATGACCTTCGAATACTACCGACAGTCATATAACCGGATATAAACATTAATTTGAATATAAATAGATAGCAGTCACGTGCAATTGGATTTTTCTAGGTCTGTTTGATTTCAAATTGTAGGTTAAAAAGAATGTTTATCAGCGTATTTACCTGTATAAGAATTATTTTTTGTGGATTGAATCAGCTAACCACATTGTTCATCCTTGTTTCACTTTCAATGTTGACATTCTTTTCCTTTTAATAGCTGAATACATGTGCAACCCATCTCCCGCTAAGGGGTTGAATTGAAGGTCACATGAATATGGATTCAATGAGGTCGAATAAGTCACCTGCAAGTTAATAATTCATCAGCGATGTTTCTTAGCTTGTTTTGACAAAATTGAACCAATTTGGCTGTTAAAAGCAAATTATGTTTCACTTTTTCACTTTCATGAATGAAAATTTTTTTTTTATATATTTATCTCGTACCTAATGCCCATTTAAACATAAAACAGGTGTCTATAAGATTTGTCAAGCTCTTTATCGTCCAAAGTCTACTCTTAAGATGATTGAGAGAGACTATTTTGTTGTGTGCACAATTGATTATCACAGAAACTGCTTAGGGGTTTGAAATTGTAACAAAGTGTAATTGAACAGATTGATTGTTTATGTGAGGTCATTTATATCAGTAAGGGCTGTTCCACAATTCATCATAAAGGGGATGGGTGGCACTCAAATTAATGAGATATTTTGTATGGTGTTGGTATTTTCTTTAGAATTTTACAAGAATTATAAGTAAAATGTATTTTTTTTATGGGTGGTAAGGGTCTTAAAAAGTGCCTCCTGTGCCCATGTATTTAATTCTAGACCAGCCCTATAGCAATAACATATAAGGTAGTTTTCAGTTCTGCCGTCATTACAGATTTATTATTTTTAATATGAGTTATTCTATTAAAATGAATGGAGAAGGAAGAAAGAGACTTATAAAAACAAAAACACCTACATTTAAAATGAAATAGCAATGATTTAAAACAAAACAGTGTATAACCATCTAAAACTCCTTTTTCAGATGGTGGTAGAGTGGAGAACATCAGTTTAACTATACATGGGTTTGACTGTTCATCATCTGACTTAAGCTGTTTAAAGCCTGCTGTACAAGGTAATTAGATCAGTCTAACTATGCATGGGTTTAACTGTTTGTTATCCGACATAAGATGTTTAAGGCCTGCTGTACAAGGTAATAAGCCAGTCTCACTATACATGGGTTTAACTGTTCGTCATCCGACATAAGATGTTTAAGGCCTGCTGTACAAGGTATTTAGATCAGTCTCATTTTACATGGGTTTAACTGTTTGTCATCTGACATAAGATGTTTAAGGCCTGCTGTACAAGGTAATTAGATCAGTCTCACTATACATGGGTTTAACTGTTCGTCATCTGACATAAAATGTTTAAGGCCTGCTGTACAAGGTAATTAGATCAGTCTCACTATACATGGGTTTAACTGTTCGTCATCCGACATAAGATGTTTAAGGCCTGCTGTACAAGGTAAGTAGATCAGTCTCACTATACATGGGTTTAACTGTTCGTCATCCGACATAAGATGTTTAAGGCCTGCTGTACAAGGTAATTAGATCAGTCTCACTATACATGGTTTTAATTGTTCGTTATCCAACATAAAATGTTTAAGGCCTGCTGTACAAGGTAATTAGGTCAGTCTAACTCTACATGGGTTTAACTGTTCGTTATCCGACATAAGATGTTTAAGGCCTGCTGTACAAGGTAATTAGATCAGTCTAACTATACATAGGTTTAACTGTTTGTCATCTGACTTAAGATGTTTAAGGCCTGCTATACAAGGTAATTAGATCAGTCTAACTATACATAGGTTTAACTGTTCGACATCTGACTTAAGATGTTTAAGGCCTGCTGTACAAGGTAATTAGATCAGTCTAACTATACATAGGTTTAACTGTTCGTCATCTGACTTAAGATGTTTAAGGCCTGCTATACAAGGTAATTAAATCAGTCTATCTATACATAGGTTTAACTGTTCGTTATCTGACTTAAGATGTTTAAGTCCTGCTATACAAGGTAATTAGATCAGTCTAACTATACATAGGTTTAAATGTTCGTCATCTGACATAAGATGTTTAAGTCCTGCTATACAAGGTAATTAGATGAGTCTAATTGTACATGGGTTTGCCTGTTCTCCTTCTGACTTAAGATGCAGATGCACAGCAGATTTGTGTACTCAAAAACTTATTTGCAGAAAATAGGTATATTTTTGGAAATTGTAACATGCTCAGGACTGTGTAGAACACTCTTAAAACTGATGACTTAAAAGAGCTTTAGATTTAGATTTTTTCAATTTTTTTTCAATATTAGATCATTCAGCAAAGATTAACAATTTTTTAATTTCAGGTTCTCAAGCTTCTATTAAATGCAATTATCTTGATAAATTATGAAAATAAAACATCATTTTTAATAACACAGTTTAACAAATGCTTTCTTTAAAATATGCAATTGTTGTTTAGAAATACCCTTAAATCAGTATCATAACAGGCAATGATTTACTGTTGATTTTGTCATTTTTTTTATAAGAACAGTGACTTTTATATTTTTGTTTCCTCATTGGTTTTGCCACTGGTTAAGGTCGAATCAACTTGAATATTGATATGCATGTTCATTTTGATATGAACTTTTTGAAATACATGTCAGATTAAGGTTTTTAACACAGAATTTTTAGTTCACTGATCATAAAAAATGAGTGTGAAACTAGTACATTCTCAGGTAAAATTTTTGGTCAGGATTGTTGACCATGAAGTAGTGGTCACATCAAGGTAAAACTCATGCTCATTATGATTACAATATTTAAATTTATGCCAATTTGCAGTTTTTTCTCTGAATTTGAAATATGATAATATTAATGTAGCAGGGAATCGCGTGATATGGGCATGTACATGTTTCTTAACCAGGTTACTGGCTATTCCATAGAGCTAACATTCACCATGCTTTGATTACAAATATGTAAGACATTAATACTCAGTCACTTTTATAAAACAGGTGTTTAGCAAATTGTATATCAGCATTTGCTAGATTTCTAAACCTGTCATACCATTTAATGTTTATATTTCACGACATCTGTGTATTTCAATGTGCAAATTTATAGCATTATCTAAATCAAGCAAAAAATTTGCACAAACCGAATCTGAGGGCCATTTTGTAGTTACTGTGAGGCACTTGTGGGGGGAGGGGGTGTCTTAATATGGGATTTACGGTATCGACTTGCAGCTGGGATTTCAAAATCACCTCCCATTCATATTTTGAAATCTTGTGAAAATCTTGACTCAAATAAATTTCATGGCAAAATTATAACCCATTTATATATTTCTCTGTTATCATATGTAACATTTTTGACATCTTAAATTGATTTAAAAGGTAAAAAACAGCTTATATAATAGAAATCTTTTCAAAAGATGAAAATTACTGACCCAAAAGGCATTGACATTTTACATTGATGAAATTGCAACCCATTGATATATCAAAAAAGGGATTCATTCCAACAGAACGTCTGTGGATACCTTCAATTAATATAGGAAGAGACCCCCCTCCCCCCTTGCTGTGAGTTGTAAACTTTTGCTTTGTCTTAAAAGCCTCACTGTTGTTATAAGACGAAGAACATAAAAAGAATTATGGTCATTTTCTCATTTTTATAATGTACATGGTGCATGTTAGGCTACTTATATCATGAATTAGTACAAGATATCATTGTTTTCCACTTTTTAATGAGATAACCATTGTTTTGCAGATGAATCATTTTTCATCACACCACCCCCATATGAAGTTACTACAGATAAAACTACAGATAAACCAGATAAACCAGATAAACCAGATGAAAATCGTAAATCTATCAATCATTCCGTCATTATAATTGTTGGGGTGTTAGCAGTTGTATGTGTAGTCATAGTTATACTGCTTGTTGTCAAGAGAAAGAAAAAGTTGTGTTTTAAAGAAAGATTAAGGTATGTTTATCATTTACTTGTATAAAACTAATTACCTAAAACATGAATTTTTTTTAGCGAGGGTTATTTTCACTTTAAGATTCTGCATGAAATTAAAGTATCTTTCATGCATACAGTTTGTACCAATCAACAATATTGGTGTGAAGGGCCAATTTAATGTGCCATGTGTGAATTTAAACAAGCACAAACAATTGATGCATTGAATTCACGAAAAATATTTGTGTTTACAGTAGTCTTTTAGGGATATGCATTTTTTGTAGAGGTATTTTACACTTTCTTTTGCAGATTGGGCCTAGCATTTCAAATTTTCATGTATGCTGAATTGCTGATTAAGTTAAAAATAACAACATTGTCATAAATGATATGAACAAAAGAAGATGATGAGTAAAACATCAAAGCAAAAATAAACTCAACAACTCTAAAACTTCTTTCATATTAGCTGATGTATATGTGAACAGGTTAATAATGTTTGTGAACAATTTAAATCCGGAGTTAACTTTTATAAGTCTCTTTGCATTGCAGATCAGAAAAGTACTCAGCAGAGAAGAAAATTCCTCTGAAATGTTAGCTTTATAAAGAATTACAATAATTATATCTATATATGTATATATACTGTAAATTCAGAAATTATTGCGAGGTTTTTATTAATGCGAATAATGCGACTCCATGAGTATCGCAATAATAAGAAGTCGCATTCTGAAATCTCATACACATATCTTAAGCAAATGTTTCTGAAATCGCAATAATAAATCTCGCATTTTTGTCCTTTTTTCAAAAATCGCAATAATAAATGCACGCATTAATTTCTGAATTTACAGTATATAATTATGTATAGAGTTTCTGTTGAACAATATAAAAAAAATTTTGAAATTCTATACTGCCAACTGATATTTGACCAGAAGTAAAGCTAAAATAAATTTAGCTGTTCCACAATATATACAATCAAATATGTATGTAAAGGTCACCCTTGAGACAAGAGAAAACTGATTTATAAGAGATATGATCTTTGAATTGAGGTTCAGAATGCATAGGTATAATTACAGTAGGACAAGGAGAAGGTGACTAGACAGGTTATTGCTAAATAAATATGACCTTTATCACAGGTTTGACTATAAAATCCTGTGTTAACTTTGATAATTCTGTTGTTATTGTAGATCAAAGAATTCAGAGAATTCAGAGAATTACCCAACAGAGCAGCATATTCCTCTGAAATGTTAGCTTTATAAAGAATGACAATAAATATATCTATATACATAAAGAACCTCTAGATAATTTAAGTCAACTGTCATTCTTACAAAGGCGTCAGATTGTTATGAAAAAAGGATATTGTACACAGAACATATACAATATATATATATAAGGTTGGTTTTTTTAGCTCACCGGGGCCTTCGGGCCCCATGTGAGCTTATGCCATCACTTGGCGTCCGTCGTCTGTCGTCGTCGTCGTCTGTCGTCGTAAACTATTTAAAAAATCTTCTCCTCTGAAACTACTGGGCCAAATACCTTCAAACTTTTACTAAATGTTCCTTAGGGTATCTAGTTTATAAATTGTATCCGAAGTTTTGATCTGTTGACAAACATGGCTAAAAATAGAACATAGGGGTCAAATGCAGTTTTTGGCTTATATCTCAAAAACTAAAGCTTTTAGAGCAAATCTGACATGGGGTACAATTGTTCAGTTGGTCAAGATCTATCAGCTGTGAAATTTTCAGACGAATCAAACAACCCATTGTTGGGTTGCTGCCACCAAATTGGTAGTTTTAACAAAATTTTGCAGTTTTTTGTTATTATTTTGAATATTATTATAGATAAATATAAACTGTAAGCAGCAATAATGTTCAGCAAAGTAAGATCTATAAAAAAGTTAATATGACCAAAATTGTCAATTGACCCCTTAAGGAGTTATTGCCCTTTAAAGACAATTTTACACAATTTGTTCATCAAGTTTGCTAACATTTAAAAATCTCCTTCTGAAATGCAGGTGAGCGATTCAGGCTCTTGAGAGCCTCTTGTTTTGAATACTAAGCAGGTTGTACCAACCTTGAGAAAAGTAATAACTTTCTTAATATGGAAGTGTTTTTCTGAGTGCAGGTGACCTTATGATTATTTACCATGCTATTTAGACAAAATTTGTTCTTCCTACAACAAAGTGTTGTAACAGTCTCAATGTTAAACTGCCATAAAAAAATCAATAAATCATAGGAATTGTATGCAAACTATACAGGTACTTAGTTAACCATCTAGCCAGTCTCAATTATATAAGTAAATGCATAAAATCCAACTTGTAGTTATGGTTTAGACTCACTAACCAAAAAATCAGCCTTCTGGTTACTTACTCAATGCACATATAGATATTCAAAATGGCATGAATTGTGTGCAGAAACCTATGTAATTTGGAACTTTCCATTATGAGATATGATAAAATCTTTATTGGCAATCCCACCTACTGCATATTGCTAGAATATAATCATTTGGAAATGGAAATAAAAAAAATTCTAGTAAATACTTGGACAGTGTATGAATAGCAAAAAACCCATTTTATCGACTATGAATTTTAGAAAAATTACATTAATCACCTGGAAAGCAATGATATAGTCCCAGTATGTATATACATTTTATGTGTAGAACAGATTTTATTGTTGTTACATATTTTTGTGCTATGCCTATCTAGTCAACAAAATATCAGAGGATCTGAAATGGACATTGAAACATATATACTTACTAGCTAAAAAAAGATTTTACTAAAGTCCATATTCATACTCTCTCTTTTGAGTAGGGGCAATTTTTGCAAAAAAAGAAATACAAGTGCACATATATGTTGATTAGAATTTTTTCTCTAAATATATATTTTCCGAAAAGAGGCACAGGTTTTATTTTTAGTATTACCTGAGATCAGAAAATTACCCAACTGAGCACCACATTCCTCTGGAGCCTTGGTTTTATAAAGAATGACAATTATCATATGTATATATATGTGTGTGTGTATACAAGTATATATACACAAAATTTGCCTGTCCTAAATATGTTACTTTTTGTCCAGGTCAAGTCCTTTGATATTTTGAAAAACCACAGGTTTTTTTATTATATGTATTTACTGGTTACATGTTATTTTTACAGTGTTGTCATTTTTCATCAAATTTACTCAATGTTTTAAAATACCATTGAAAATGTACCTTCTAACTTGATTATACTAAGCTTATTTGTTGTTATATGCCAAGTTTTAATGTCATTATAATTGCCTTTATTAATTGATTGACATATGAACCATTAACTGACCAGAAGACTCCTTATAAATAAGTTATTTGACAGAATATGGCATTCTAACAAGTAAACTAGTTGGGTTATCTGAGGTTACTACACCAGATGGCACTAACATTTATAATCTTTTTAATCAGTGAAATATGTGATACCCTCCCAGCTAATAGAATGTGTTATAACTCAAGTTCTGTATTTGGTATGACCTGCATGAGTTCATGAAAATAGAACTTTTGCTTATTTTGATCAAGAGTCTGTCCTTTTTAAACTTTTTTTGCTACAAAACCACTTTTGACATCGGTTTAAATGCAACACTATGTACTTAATAGCTCTTTAACTAACCTGTTTAGTTTGGTCTGGTAAGAAGCCTTAGCCAATTACTGATGCTGAAGTATGACTTAAAAATGGCTTGAACCAACAAAACTGAGTCTTAAGACAAATTGAATGAAAGGCAGTTGAAATAACACAAAAAAATCCCCTGATTTCTTTAAAATTGAAAATAGACATGATAATCCAATCCACCTGCCTACATTTTTACAGGTGTCTTCTCATTTTTTTATTATTTTTAAAGTATGAATGAAAGTGGGGTGAATGCCAATGGATAGTAAAAGTCCAGAGATGAACATATTGTCTTTAACAATGGGCAAAACATAAGTGACTGTACAATATGTTCAGTTCTAAGAAAATTATGGATATATTTAACAGAGACTATATAAAGGTTCTACCATCAACACCAAATTGTCTGAAAAAAAATCATTTTGAAGATATTACTGAAGACAACCATTGAAGAGGTTCTTGAGATGGGACAGGAACATGAACATCTTGTGAGGTTAAACTAGTCCATTTTTTTTTTTCTTCTTCTTCCAAGTAAGGAACCGAATTCATATTGAATGTGTATGGTCCCGCCATTTGTTTTAGATTTCAACCCTCTTAACTCATAACAAAATGATTATTTATTATGTTGTGTTAATTTTGATCAGTGGAATAACTCAGGAACATAAAATTAAATTAGGTTATATTAATGCTTTAATGAAATATGAATTTATCAAAATTGTGCTATATATCATTATCATCATTACGTGCAATATTTTTTTTTATGTCTTATTTTGATTGTATTGCATAGGGATTCCTGGCTAATAAAAGTATACCTCACATTTTCTTTTATTAATATGAGACATAAGAAATCAGCACATAATTCTTATTTTTATGTAGGCTATAATTGTCACTTAATGTTGTCATTGTCCTCATTGGCTCTCTTTAGCCATATACAATATTATATGTTTGCATGAATTATGCATTGTCTTCCCTAGAGACCTTTTTTTACATTATATCCAGTGATCCTTGTAACAAATATAGATGTTTTCATAATAAATTGAAGAAAGGGATAAGATAACTTAATAAAACTTAAATATGAAAATTTCCAATTAAAAATAACTACTATTAGTAAAAATGTATATTCCAGGAAGAGTTATTTGTCATATGATTCTATTGAAAATATTCAAATGTATGATCATGTATGCCCATTCTGAAGAATGAAGAATTGAATTATATTTATTTCTGATTATCTAAAAAATATTTTTCTGTTTGTTGCCCATTTACATCATTATGCAAGTTTTACAAAATGGTGTTACAAAACCTTCCTTTTTTAAGACGTAAAGATATGTAGAGATGAAACTTAGATGGATGGTAATTTGATTTTAGCTTTTTTAAAACTTAGTTGTAATTGCAAGCAATACAACTTTCCAGGAACATCAATTTTCAATTACTTACCTTGAAATTGTACCAGATAAGAAGAATGTATTTTATATTTTGCATATATACATTAAATTTTCTAGAAAGTATTATGAGTTTCTCCAATTTTTTTTTTAGAAATAATGCAAAATGCTGGAATAAAGATCTTTTCAAGAAACTTGAGACACAAACATTTTAAAGTTCTTGAATTAAGAAGGAACTGAAATTTCAACAGAAAAAGTTTCATCTCTGATGTATTTTTCTGTTTTTTGATGCCAACAAGCTTTTTTAGCTCACCTGGCCCGAAGGATGATGTTGATCTCTACCAATTGTTCATGAATGTCAAAACTGTCAGATGACTTCTTATAGGAGTTATTGCCCTTAAATGACAAATTTTACCATTTTTTTCATTTTTGCCTATTATCATGAAAACTATAATAGATAGAGAGCAACTTTATCCTCAAAAATGATCAACAAGACAAGATGTACAAATAAGGCTGCATGGTCAAATTCGTAAGTCGATTCCTTATAGGGTTATTGACCTTTGATGACGATTAAACCAATCTTTTGCATTTTTGCCTTATATCTTAAAAATTATAATAAATAGATAGAAACTTAAATCAATGCCTTGCTGATCATTTTTGTGATTTAAAGTGTCTAATTATCTATTATAATTTTTATCATATAAGGCAAAACGCAAAAAAAATGGTAAAAATCGATATTAAAGGGCAATAACTCCAATAAGGAGTCGTCAGACGATTTCCTCCATATCGTCTTAATTGTAGATCTTGTCTTGCTGATCTTTTAAGCAAAAATGATCAGCAAGACAAGATCTACAATTAAGACGATATGGAGGAAATCGTCTGACGACTCCTTATTGGAGTTATTGCCCTTTAATATCGATTTTTACCATTTTTTTTGCGTTTTGCCTTATATGATAAAAATTATAATAGATAATTAGACACTTTAAATCACAAAAATGATCAGCAAGGCAAGATCTACTATCAAGCTAATTTTTGCCAATATAGTTTGTAGACTGTCACTCTTTATAGGAGTGATTGTCCTTAAATGAGGATTTTTTTTTACCCTGTTTTGTGTTTTGAGCAAAAACTAAAGAAGATAGAGAGAAACTAAACAGACTAAATGATCAGCAATACAAGATTAACAAAACAGATTTTTGTCATGAATTCTATTCTCGTTTACAATGTTGGAGAGTGTCCTTTGTTGAATATGCAAATAGGCCAAGGTGAGCGACACAGGCTCTTTAGAGCCTCTAGTTTTAATCTGTTTTTAATTTTTGTCTCGCTTGCCAATAAAGTCGCAGAATGCAAGACTTAGGGATTACAATCTGATGGAGGTGGCAGCGTAAACTATCTGTATAAAGCTTTATATTTCAGAAAGTAGAAGACCTTGATGCTTCATACCTTGTATACAAGTACCTTATGTTATGAAGTTTCCGTCTGTCATATGTCTATTGTCCTTGACCTCATTTTCATGGTTCAGTGACTGAAAAAAACAATTACAGATTTTTTAGTCAAGTGAAATTCTCACTTATTATGAGTAATAGGATAACTATATTTGTTATATGGGTTCCTTGCAACGTCTACTTGTCCGTCAGTTAGGGTTCACCTGACCTTGACCTTATTTAATGGATATTACAGACTTTCAACATAAATTCAATGATAATTAAAACAGGTAAGACATTACAGCGTGTGCACTCTTGTTTTTTCACTTTCATGTAAACTTTTAACATGCAACCAGTATATGTAGCAAGATATGGATCCAGGATAACTCTTCTTTACCCTGGTTTAAGATATATGCACCTATGAACTACTTGTTTTGTGATTCATATTGAATTTTTTCATTTTTTGATCGATATAGATATTTCATACAACTGTTACAATTAGTTAATGAGTCAACAGTGCAGTTCCGTGTGCACAATCTTTATCATTAATTGGTCTGTTAGTGCTTACGATATTAAATATTTCCAAATTTGTTTTGTTATTTAGCTGCTTTTATAATGTACAGTTATAGAAAATGTTTAGTTTTAAATCTTGTTTGCTTAATTCCAACTTTTATACTATTGATACATGTTACCAAAAAAAATACCTGGTATGACGTTGGCGTCGTCGTCGTCTGAAGACACATTGGTTTTCGCACAATAACTTTAGTTTAAGTAAATGGATCTCTATGAAATTTTACCATAAGGTTCATTACCACAAAAGGAAGGTTGGGATTGATTTTGGGTGTTATGGTACCAACAGTTAAGGAATTAGGGGCCAAAAAAGGGCCCAAATAAGCATTTTTCTAGTTTCCAGACAATAACTTGTGGAACGGTGTATGAATCTCTCTGAAATTATACCACAAGTTTCCATACCACAAAGGGATGGTTAGGATTGACTTTGGGGGGTTATATCTCAAACCAGTTAGGAATTAGGGGCAAAAAAGGGGGGAAAACAAGGGTTTCCTGGTTAATGGACAATTTAAAAGCAG